CATGCAAACAGTTTCATCTTAAGGAAAAAGCTTCTGCCTCTGGGGCCATTCTCTGTCCAGGAGCAAACCTACCCCCTACCCCCCATTCTTGGTCTTAGCAATTTCATTTCCTGTTCATTCTTGACTAAATTTCTGCCCACACAACTAAAGCCATGCCCACACGGCTTAAAATATTCTCCTCACCTTCTGTGTGAATCTTCCCTTCTTTAGAATCTATGAGAACTCAAAGAATAACCTAACTGTTCACTCTTCCCCATAGCATCAAATTCTTACCAGTACTACTGCCGTAGTTTTCCTACTAGGTATCCTTGTTTCTGCTGTTATCTCCCACAACCAGTGTGCTGCAGAGCAGCCAAAACACATAAATCAAATCATATTAGTCCCTTGTTTAAAATCGTCCAATGACTTCCTCTTGAACTTGAAGTCCAAACATCTCACCATAGCCCACAATACCCCAAAGTCTCTGCCATCTGCCTGCCTCCTTGATTTCATCTCATACCATTCCCTCCCTCACCCACTCCATCCCAGCCACTCTGTTGTTTTCTATTATTCAAATACACCAACCAAAATGGCTGTTGCACGTACTATAAACTCTAACTGGGTGTCTTCCCCCCAATTTTTGCATAGTTGGTTCCCTCTCATTCGAACATCAACTCAGAAGTCACCCTCTCAAAGAGCACTTCCAGACTGTTTAGTTGTTCTTGATCACATTTTATTTAATTCTCTTTATTCCACTTATCATTGTCTGAAACTGGCTCACTCTGTGCAACTTCTTTATTGTCTGTCATACTACTAGAATCTAAGTTCCATGATAGCAGAGTTCCTTACCCTGCTTAGAACTTAGTAGGTGCTATATACTCAAGTAATCTTCAGCAGATAATCATTACACAGTGTTGTACTTCCAGTCACTAAATATAACCACCAAATATTCCTTCGTCCTTGTTAACACTGAAAAGAATGATATACTACACATTTTTTCCATGAAAAAATTATGTGAATTTATTCCTGTCTAATGAATCAGTCCTATTGGGAACAAAAACACATTTCAAGAGACAATGTCAATATTCTTCTGGAAAAAAAAAAAAAAAGTACCGGTACGTTGGTACACTCATATCATAACGAAAATAGTAGTGGCTGTGTGTAATAAATGATAAAGGACGGTGAATTTTTATTTACACTAACTTTTCAGCCTTCAAATGGAATTTATCAATTAACATAGCACACTAAACTTAAAATCAAGCATTGGGGCATCTATAACATAAGTAATTATAATTAAAATCACAATCCAAACTTCTTAATCTCAAATTGGCCTCTGAATTCCAATCTCTAAAATCTCTAGTCTCCTTTGCTTTATGCCATAATGAACACTTTCCTTTGTTTGAAACTGAGTGGTCTCTAATTTTTTGGAACACCACATCAAAATGATCAGAATTTCAATATTTCAAGATTTTTTTTCTAATCAGGAAGTGCGGATTAGTGGAACTTCTCTGCCTTGTCTTCACCATCTCTTACAGTAAAGCTCTTCTGTGGTCTTGATATTTCAAAGTAAAACCTTCCTGAACCCAGCAGATAAGAAATTTTTAGTGCCTGTTTCTAACTATTCACGAGTGAAGACCCGTTACAAAAAGTAAATAACAATGGAAACTGAATAGGTACTAGTAGAATTATTGTTGTTGTTTTTTACTTTTACATTTTATTTCTCCACAGCTATTTTATGGGATTCAATTACAGTGGGTAATGAGTATTATCCATTGATGAGAACTACCAAGTTTTATTTAACTTCATAACAATACTTTTGGATGTCATATTTATTTGAAAGTAAAATGAGGTAAAGTGTTTATTAAATTTTGCTTTAGTCAAAGTCTCCCCCACCACACACACACTCTATATGTAGGTTTGCAGGACTGCCCAGAAACCGAAAATCCTTCTATTGCTTCTCTTCCTTGTAAAGAAAAATTGGTTGGTGATATGATACTCGCAGTGTAAGTCACTACAGGTCTGATGCTACAGTTGTTACGCATTATTGAATCTATCGAATGAAAAGGGAGCACAAAGGGAATTTCCAAATGCAGCTGCTATTTCCCATTTGTTAAATCCTTTTATTATACCATATAAGTACACAGCTGGGAAATACTATAGAGTGGGAGTTAAAACAAAATATTTTGGCTTCCAGACATTCAGAATACACAAAGGCTCCAGTGGAAAGCAGTGCTTGATATCAAAAGAGAGTGAAAGTTTGAAAACATTTCCAGCAAATATGATTTCTTTTATACTAATATATAACATATTTATAAATTTAAACTATTTTATACTACCATAAATCCCTCTTAATGTTAGTTTGGTAAGCAAATTATTAGTATCTATTTTCTGACAAAATTTTAGATCATAAAACTTTGAGAATAACTCACTGAAGCAAACTGGCACTTGCCAAAATACAAACAAATTTTACTAAGGAAAATAAGTAACATGTTCTCTGAAGAAGTAAAATTTGAAGGATATTATTTCTGTCTCAACCTATATTTTTCAGTGTCATTATTTTTATTGTCCATGACTATATTTGGCATAAGTGGCAAAATAGATCTTGAATCCACCCCTTCTCTATATCCCATCTACCTCTACACTAGCCCAAACCACTACCATCACTTACTTGGACTTCCTTTTTTATTTTTTATTTTTTTTTTTTAAGATTTATTTATTTATTTGAGAGAGAGAGAGAAAGAGAGAAACAGCATGTATGAGCAGGGGGGAGGGGCAGAGGGAAAGGAAGAATCTCAGGTAGACCCCCTGCTGAGCACCGAGCCTGACAGGGGAATCCATCCCACAACCCAGGAGACCCCTACCTGAGTTGAAACAAGAGTCCTTGGATGCCCAACTGACTGAGCCAACCTGGCGCCCCTTACCTGGACTTCTGAAGTAGGCTCCCCACAGGTCTTGTTCCTTCACTCTTGTCTCCCTCCCATCTATTCATACTATAGCCAGAGTGATCTATCTGCAGTGTTTTAAAACCCTTCAATGGTTTTTCATTGCACTTAGAATCAAACATCACTTCCATAACATTATCTCTATGATCTTGTTGGATACAGCCCCTACCTGTCTCTCCAACAAGATCTGAAGTTACACTGCATCTTCACTCGTTTATACTCTAGCCTCAAAGACGATCTTTTTATATATATATTTATTTATTTTTTAGAGTGAGAGAGAGAACAAAGGGAGAGGCAGAAGCAAAGTGAGAGAGAGAATCCAAGCAGGCTCCCCACTGAGCCTGAAGCCTGACAGGGGTCTTCATGTCACGGCCCCAAGACCACGACCTGAGCTGAAACCAAGAGTCAGACACTTAACCAACTGGCACCCCAAAGACTATCTTTCCACGCTCAGCTATATTTTTCTCACCTCAAATATGTCACACATGCTGTTCCTTCTGCTATTTTTATTCTTTCTTCTATTCTTTGCCTGGCTAGTTCCTATCATCCTTGGGTCAGAGAAGGCATTCCTATCCCTCTATGGCTTATCTCATTATTTCTCACATAGCATCCTGTTCTTTTTCTTCCTAACACATATCACAATTTTAATTATCTATTTATGTATGTATATTTTTTTAATTTCTGTCTCCTCTCCTAAATATAAGTTCCAAGAAAGCATCATCTTGCAAGTTTTTTCACCACAGTACAGCCAGCACTTAGTAGCATGCTGAGCCCAGAGAAGGTGCTCTATAGTAAACACTTGATGAAATAAAGATAAAACATGGGTCTACTATCTTCTTGAAAAGCCAGTAGCAGGGACTGGATATCTGTGTCACCCTTGCTATCTTGGAGGTACAAAAATGATTCAGTTCAATCAGAAAAGCAGACTTTTGGTCTTTTAGCCTTGCCTTTTTATACTCTCCTCTATCCCCCATGCAAGAAAATACATCTTCCACTGGAGCTATCTAACTGTATAAATGACAACGTCTTACGAACCAAAGTCTAGAAAAGTCTTATCTTTCCTTCCATTCACTTACTTTTCACCTGCTGCTTCAGGGTACTAGCTGTGTCTGCAAAATCAGCTAAAAAAGAAGAATGTCTGCCTCCAAAATTTATAAAATCAAGTCTTTGACATTAAACATTAAGCACAGAGCAAGAATTTAAATACATTTTATCAATAGTAAAGGCGTTTTTAAATATTACCTTATTGTTATTAAAGAATAAAACTTTTCCTCACAGCCCACTTAAAATGTCTTTCATTAACATAACCAAAAGCTAAAAAATGCAAAATAGGTTGTCAATTCCCAATCTAATAAAATATGTTAAGGTTTGGTCAGTTCTAGACGCTAAAAAACCGGGTATTTTTGTTTTAAACTAGACAATGCCACTTACTGTGGCTTCTGTTTCAATGATTAGAGACAGAATTTCACATGGGAAAGCTGGCTAAGATACTGCATGTATCTGATGTTGCTGTTTCTACCTTCAGGGAAAACTCCCGTAGTCGGCTGACTGATACTCAGGAGCTTTGCCCGTCCTTTTGAAATTAATATACAGGCACATAAGTGAGAAAAGCTTTATTATAAATCAAAAATGACCATTAAAAATGACAAATATCTGCATTTCCCCACTGAAGATATATTCACCATATGACGTCATTCATAGACATGTTTGCTTAATATATATTTCAACATTAATACACAGCCACACTTTATTTGATTATACTTACTTTGTGTCATTATCAAGTTTGCCACCTTATTAAGAGATTCAGAGAATAAGATAACCAAACCTACCCCCAAATTAAATTAAATATCTTTGGCAAGTTGACCTAATAATGGATAAAAACTAAATCACAAACCGTTTTCCAATTTTTCCCAGTTACTAGTGTATTAGTAATATTAATAATATATACATGCTTGTTTCATGATCTAAACACAAGTAACTCTATGATATGCATTTTGAGCTTTTTCTAGAACACCTATTTGTGATGAGGCCATACTAACAGACACACTTAAGGACAGCGGCCAGATTTTAAAAGCTCACCATTCTTTGCTGAGACGACAGAACGCTGTCCCAGTCAGCATCTTGTTGAATGGTATTGACAAGTGTTGGGAGCTCCTCAGAGTGAGGTTTGTTGTGCATTATGGGGTGCAGAGGCAGATGGGAGGCCACATGTTGATCACCGCCCTCTTCCTTTTCCCTTGAGGTCAAATCTTGGGTCATCGTTTCCTCTCCATCAGCTGCACAGGCAAATGGAGAGGTGGCTTGCTTGGAAGACATTCTTCTGCAGAAGAAGGAAATAGCATGGATTCAAAATGCCATCATTGACAAAAGAACAAACCATCCCTTACATTTGACTAATTCGGGAAAAAAAACCAAAAATGTACATTTTCTAACTTCATGTTGTTTATGAGCTACTCTAAACCACTTTGAAAAAGAACTTAGCTTATCTGTTCTACTCTCCCTCTCCACTTTTAAGTCAGCAAACCTCTTCAAAGTAATTGCTATACATTTTCTCCCTTAACAATCCATAAATGACATTTTCATGGAATGAGTTTTCATAACATATAGTATATGTATGTGTGTATTTTTCCTCCCAGTTCTCCCAACTAGATTATCAAATTAGGTTGATGGTTAACAATGGAAAAAAATAAATTAATAAGTGAATGAACAGACGAATAAGCCAGTTTAGAGGATGATTTTAAAGTAGAAATATCCAAAATTCTCTTATGCTTTATGTGGAAACTAAAGAAGTCTATGTGAGAAAACACAATCAGGAGAGTATGTAATACACATTGAAAGTCCTAAGCAAATGTGGTCCTGACTTCTTAGTTTATACCTTGTATTATGAGTGTCAGGGCCTAACACTGTTTAGTGCCAATCTGATCCTTTTCTAAAGATCTTCAAATGTGTCAACTACTGTGAGTTAACTTGTAAGCGACATATTGATTGAGTGGCTGATAATGTTAGATTAGTATTAGGGCAATTTCATAACATTTCAATTAAGTATATGAAATAACTATGCCTCTATTTTATATTAGAAAGTACATACAAACTTCAAAGCATTTACTGTGAAAATAGTAAAAGGCCTACTATACATCATATTTTTAAACTGCAAAAACAATCACCAAACATTCATCTATGTACCCACAAGTAAACATCGACTGCACTCTGCACAAGGTCTCCATTCTGTGTTTTGTCAAGACGATTTTCTGAACAAAATGTTTAAAAATAAAACCACCAAAAGTTTATGACTTAAAAGAAAAGACAATTAAGTATTTTTTCTAAAACTTTATGTTGTTTTCAGTTTATAGCATCTTTAGCTCTAAAACTGCTGTGTAACGAAGGAATAAAATCTCCACCTTAATTGCTCTTTAACATTAATTGATTTCGTACCATTTTTTAAAAAATGCACAAATCAGTTAACATAGGAAACCACATGAGCATTTTTCAAATTAGCAAATCATTAACTTGCTAGTACTGTTTCTACAGACAAATAAATACTGATTAAAGGGTCTAGAAATCTGAGACTAACAGTTAAATTTACAAATCTGTCACATGCTTTCATGAATATTGCAGTGAAGGAAATATCAAGTGCAAAGAAAAATAATTAAGTTAATTCCAATTTAAACAGTAGTTTTTATGTAGCAGCCCATGTTTCACATAGGATTTAACAGCTAATGCTAAATTTCTCACAATTAATGAGGGGGCTCAGATTTAGTATCCTACAGTGAAAAAAATTAATATAAGATCAGCTAATCTAATTATGCACAGTTCTAAATAAAAGTATTACAGGCTTTTGAAGTGCTTTGAAACATATTAAAATGCTGATACCTACTTATAATAATCATTCTACAAATAATAAAATTTCATCTGCTAGACTCGATACTAGAAAGTAAAATGGGGGAAAGGAAGTGCAGGAGAATGTCTATATTTTCTTTGAGAAGAAAGAAATGAAATGTCCTAAAGAGTACTATATCAAAGAATCAGTAAGTATATTCTTGACTAATTTCTATCAAAATTAGCACGTGGAAAAATGCACACACACATAAGGAAAAGAACACCAAAGGATGTTTTTCATTGTACAGGGATCACTGCAAATACTGCAGTGAAGCCAGGCAAATTATAACTGGTCTGCAAGTTTATCCAGAATTTACCATAAACAACAAAAGTGTTTTCATAGTTCAGATAATGACAGTACCAATAATGTAATCATTCACATTGCAAACAAAAGAGTGAATTTACTGCTGCCTTTTAAAACAGTTAAATACAATTGAAAGTCATAAGCCAAAACTCAGACTGACTTTAGCTCCCCAACAAACATCCTCTATTATAAAGTGACTTGGCTCCTTCCAATAGTAATGTCTGTGATGGTTGCTTTAGTATAAATTAATCATGACACAAAACCCAAAATGAAAAGTCTCTTAAGAATAATTTCAAGTATAAACTGCACCAATGAACAATAGTGTGCAATCCTAATTAAACACAACCATGCAGCTGTAAAAATAGACTAAATCTGTCCAAAGCTGAGTTGAGTTTAAAGGCTGGTTTGTTAGAGTGTTTTCTTAAGGAAGGCTGGGCCCTCAGTCTTAATCAGCCAATAAATTATTTCCTGCAATTACATTAAATAGAAAATTATCTTCAAATGGGGAGTGTTAATTGAAAATCAAAATTCAGAGGGAAGTTTAGAAATTACACGCTGAATACAATTAGTGAGGAAAGGCTTCACCTCTACTTCATCAACAGTCTTCTGGTGATTCCTCCAGTGACCATTCAAAAAGCTACCTATTTACAACATCACACAATTTGTCTTTTATTTTGCACCTACAAATACAAATGTCTATCAAGGTTGCAGATGAAAGATAGGCTGCCAAAAAAAAAAAAAAAGGCAATATGAAATTTGACTGTTCATCCCCAGTTCACACCATCGCTCTGGGGCAAGGAGATGGGGGGAATGTAGGGCAATAATGGTTAACAACCAAGGAAGGCACATTCAACTTCAAAATCCTTCCCTTTACCTAAGGAACCAATATTTTTGTTCCAAGAAGCATACTTTACTTATCATATTTTATTTAATTTCTTGAGTTTACTACAGTTCTCATCATATTGCTAGCAGAGAAAAAGGTGATTGTGCAGTATTGTTCTACTGTAGGCATTTCCTTTTGATAAAATTGTTGGGCTTCTTTCAGGTTGGTTTTTAATTGTTGGTTTTGTTGTAAAATTTGGTAGTTTTGCTATATTTTTAAAAGGAAAATGTGTACAAATTCTTTTTAAAGCAAAGTTTATTAAGTCAGTCTTAAATTTTCTGATTATTAGATTCAACTTACTGATTACTTTTTACACAATTATTTTATTAAAGAATCCTTGAACTTACTGATTACATCCTCATTCATTTCTTTACTTTAGCTTCCCTTTTTAAAAACATTTTACTAGATCAACTATACTATTCTGGAAGCTGCAAAGATACTTGACTTTTGGTAATGCCTTCACTATAACCACTGCACCGTGGCTACCCTCCTTAGAAACTCATAAATCAAATATATACTTGATGTTAATGTTTTAAAAATGTCACCTGGGATGCTCAATTTTATTTTTAATGCTCATTTAGTAATTTTTCATTACAAAAAATTTCATCCCCTACGTATTAGAACTGTATCTTACTTTAGCTCCTGTCATATAAAACTAGGAAGCAAAAGAATCCAAATCCTTGTAAAAATGGTCAATTTCTATGTGACTTTACTTTGTTTTATTTTTGCACTATTATAACTTAAAAATCATTCAAATGAATTGTTTTTTTAATTTGTATTAAAAAAAAAATCTCCCTAGTTATACCCCCTGAAAACAGGGGTTTATAATGGAAGTGCTGACACAACCCTAACTAAAGCAGCGCAAATGTTGCCGCTATAATACACAAAATCAAGTTCTATTATTCTAAACTATCCTCGCTCATGGGATTTTTCTTTACTGTGCTCCCAGCCAAACTGCTGAAGCATGAAAAATTTAAATGCAATCAAATGCGCCCAATTCTACTTTACTAGAACAAGTGTCTACAGTGGTACAATCTTAAAAGGAGATGCAACAGATTTGTTTGGTGTTTTTTTTAACTGTTTATTTATAATACAGTGCATTGGAGATAAAATAAAAGAGGAAATTACACTCACATGGTACTAGTGTATTGACTACACAGAGTACATTATAATCAGAGAGAAAAACTACATTGTCAACTTATCACATTGGTTAAACAAGATGGTTTTCTGGGGCATAGCTATTATCAAGTAAAACCTCCAAAGAGAATTACATATCTTTGGGACACATGAAACTAAATTCCCATCATGTGTTCCCCGAGCTTGAAATGTCTCTGCCCAGAAGATCAAGTGAATTCCCAGGATGCCAGGCCATTGGGAAGAACTTCAGGGCTTAGGACTTTTGGGAATGAGATTGTTGGAAATAAAGTCTCCAGTAATGGATAATGTTTTCTAGGAAGTCAGTAGGAGTATCTCTAGAAAGATGATAATTATTTTACTTCAAACCCAAAACCCCACCACAAAATCTGAATGTTCAGGCCATCACAAACTTATTAAGACAGTAAATTTACTTTATGTTCTTTAACAAGAAACTAAGGTTAGGGGGTCCAAGACTTTATAAAATGGTAAGGATATGGACATCTATACATTAAGCCCTCTAGCTCAGAAAATCAAATTTTCTAGAATTTTAAACCAGCTCGAGCTGCTCTTGTTATTTTTAAGAAATAGTTATTTGTATATGTTTAAAGGTTAGGATTATTTTAAAACAACTTTCTCTTAGGGCATTATCACTTGAAATTACCTTTTTTTTTTTTTTTTTTTTTTAAACTATTGCCTGGGAAGAATCCATTTCAAAACTATCCTTTGGGATTTACATAGGTATCAAAAAGAGTCACTGAATTTATTGGAACAATATTTTTAACTTGATATTTAAAAATGCTTCCTTACTTCTCAGATAATTATCAAATGGCATTCACTTGTTAGGTGTATTACATTTATTCCACAGAAGCTCAGTTTTTAACATAAAACAATATTTAATAGTTGGTTTACTTAAAGAAAAAAATTAAACATTCAGGCCAATATTCACAATTTGTTTTTGCAACTCAGCCCCAGGCTACCAAGGTAGACTTTTTTTTTTTTGTCAGATAATTCACTGTTAATTTAATACTGCAATTGATCTGATACTAAGAAATAAACAACTAATTTTCCAAAAATATAACACAGTGCCTCTCATTTTAAGCAGCATGAGTAACAGATATGT